AAAAGTTTGTGGAAACAGAAAGGAAGAATCTTGAATTTTGCATGGGATTCAATGCCTCACATTCTGCCTTGAGTAATGTCACATTTAAAACCTGATTATTTCATTTTTCTCTTATACTTGGGTTTATTCTGTGCCCATGTACCTTGTGAAAACATGTCTTCTATGAGAAAAAAGTCCATTGTGCAAACAATAAAACTGTAATAGCCTTAGAGTTTTTCTGCTAGACTTGGTTAATTATGATTAATTTCATCTTCACACTCTAACAGATACACACCCCTCAGAATGAGGGCACTATTTAAGTATTGAGGAATTGAGACCATGAACTACTTGGAAAAGGATCCTGTACAACAAAGCCTTCATCCAGGTTTCTCCGAAAACCCAGGAAAAAAGAGAGTAGGAAGAAAATGCACTGTCAAATAAAAATGAAATGAGAGAGATGTTGAGAACATTGTGCTGCACAAAATAGGGCGAGATTATTCTCTTACATCATTTGCATACATAGACTCTGGGACATGACATGTTTATGAGCGATTGTGCTTCATATTGACTTATTACGCTATGGAGTAATTAAAACGTCAGTTCTTCAAGGACAAAATTTAGAATTATTCCTTTTTGTATTTTCCAGCATTCCTTTCATGCAGAGAGTATCCAGAAAGCATTTGCGGGAGTTAAGGAATTAACTTGATGCATTTAGAATTGTTATTGTTGTTGTTGTTATTGTTATGTACCATCAAGATAACTGTGACTCATAGCGGCCCTACGCACAGTAGCTCCGAATCCTGCTTCAATCCTGAACCAATCGCACTGTCTCTGACACACCGACCCTCAGGACCCCAGTTACCATGTCAATCCATCTCATTTGGGGTCTTTCTCTCCAGAACTATCCCTCAATCCTTCCAAGCATGATAGCCTTCTCCAAAGACTGTTTTCTTTATCTTTTTTTAATTAATTTTTTCATTAGGGGTGTGTGTGTGTGTGTGTGTACCATCAAATCAGATCTGACTGGTACAGGAGGAGGTTGCCTCTCTTTCTCCAGCAGAACATCTGATGGGTTAGAACCACGTACCTCCGGGACTGCAGTACAGCTTTTTGCTACCAGGCCACCAGAGCTCCCCAAAGACTGGTTTTTCCTGTCTACATGCCTAGATTATGTGAGACAGAATCTCAAGATCCTTTCCTCCAGGGAACAGTTTTGTTTCACCCCCTCCAGGCCAGATCTGTTTGTTCTCTTGACAGTGCATAGTATGTTCAATACTCCTCTCCAGCACCACAACTCAAAGGCATGAATTCATCTTGTCATCTTTGGTCCTTGCCCCGTTCTCTGATATATAACATGTAATTGTGAAGACCATAGCCTGGATCATGTGCACCTTAATCTGTAGACTGGCATCCTTATTCTTCAGTACTCTTGCGAGGTCCCTGCCAGCAGATTTTCCTAATGCAATTCGTCTTTTGATTTCTGACTGCTGGTGTCAAGAGTGTTGATTGTGGAACCAAACAAGCTGAAATTGTTAACAATCTCAGTCTTTTCTCCATCTACATGCTGATGCTAACTGGCTCCTGGTGAGAATCTTCATTTCCTCGATGTTGAGCTTCAATCTCTGTTGCAGACTACAGTCCTTGCTCTTCTGCAGCATATGTTTAAGGCCCTCCTCAGTTTCAGCAAGTAAGGCTGTGGCATCTGCATAACACAGGGTGTCGGTGAGTTTTCCTCCAACTCTCCCACCACATTCCTCCTCATAGTCTAGCCTCTCAAATGATCTGTTCTACATACAGATTGAAGAAGTATGGTGACAGGACACACTCCTTTTCTGATCTTGAACCATGCAGTGTTTCCTTGCTCTGTCCTAATGACTGCCTCCTGGTCCAAGTCCAGATTTTGCATGAGCACCATCAAGTGTTACAGGATTTCCTTTCTTCGCAAGGTTAGCCCCAATTTGTTGTGATTCATTCAGGCAAATACCTTGGTATAGCCAATGAAACACAGATAGACATTCCTCTGGTACTTTCTCATTTAGAATTGAATATACCTTTATAAATTAATTTGATGCATTTGGAATTGGATAGACATTTGAAAACTGATGAAAACAGATAAATTCTGTTTCAGTTATTAGCTATTTTAATGTCCTGATTTTTATCATTGTCTTATGACTACTTGTAAAGTTCTTAACATGAGGAGAAACTGGAGAAGTATATATGTGAAATCTTGACATATTTTTAGCAACATTTCTGTAATTATTTCAAATTATATATATAATTATTTTAAATTACATATAATTATTTTAATTTATATATATAAATTATTATATTTCACTAAATTTAGGCAGTGCTTTGTTACCTAGAGGCAACGTGTAAAACATAAGTGCGTTCAAGTTTTCAAGATTTTACTTTGTTCTTGGTTCTGTCTTACCTTCCTTCCTTCAAGAAACTTGAGTGCTGTGCCGATGTTAGCCACAGCGTGGATTCGCTTCATCCGGCGTCCCTGTTCACAGGGCTGAAGAAAGGACACAAAAGGTGTGAGTACAAATTCATATGTTACACAGACAGTTTTAAAATCTATTGAAATGTAGTACAGGTACATATGAAGAGTACTCAAGAAGAATGCCAAGCTCCCAGGCACAGCATCTACGGCTGGATACCTCTGCTCCCACTTCTCCCAGGACAAGCAAGCCCCCTCCCCTTCCGGAGAGATATTCGAGCCAGAGAGTGAAGGTTTACCCACAGACCATTTTCCTGCCTCATGTTTCTGAGACACTACATCTAGTGCCATTCCTGTTCCTAAGGATTTGGGGAAGAATCCACTGTGTCCAATTACACTCTGTGAGGTAAACTGTCAAATGCATTCTGCTGCTTTTATTTTCTTTATTTTACAGAGAAGAGAGCTGAGGCCCAGAAGGGCCTCCCAAATAGTCACATAGCAGAAGTGCCAAAATTGGGAATTTATTCGAGTACCTTCCACAGATTCCACGTACTTGGACACTTCCCTTAGATACAGGAGCTGCATTTAGAGAACTTTGGTAAAATATAAGGTTTGAAATAAACAGGCAAAAAGATAATAGTATTATTCAATTTCTATAATGGTTAGCAAATACACAGAAGAAAGTATCTTGTCTACTGTGGTGTTTGCCTAAAAGTTGGACTTTTTCAGATATTAGCCCCCTCTGGTCTCCAGATACCTTAAATGTTGACACATGCTCTTGCAAATCAGCATCAGCTGTGGGACTAGGGTAATAGAAAGAATGCTTGCCACACTGGGCAGCAAGAATTGAGGCGAGCAAGGCTTGTGGTGGCAAGTCTCTGGTGAGAGCAAGAGAGATCCTGGAGTGGTGGAGAGACTGTGGCAAGGTCTGACCTGAGGCTTCTTGCATTTGTGCTAGCCATATTTAAAAGGTCTTGCTGTCCTTGCCAGATATTTGAAGGAGAAGCTGTTGTATAACTGTTTTGAGGCAAACCTTGCTAGATGGTTTGCATTTGACTGCAGAACTGAAACCAGATCCTGGACTTACTGAGTGCCCTGGAACTGTTGGGCTAAAGTCTAGACTTGTATTGTCAGATATTATTTGCCTCCCCCACTCCCTTCTCTAATAAACCCCATTATTGGTACCATAACTGTGAGTCAGCAACAAATAAATGAACCTCTTGTTGCTGCTCTGGTGGTACCATGAGGCTGGGCTGCAGGCTCTTTATCTGCTTTCTACTCTGGGGCCATGGAGGGGCTGTGCTATTCTTGCTCCCTCTGGCCCTTTCAGAGGACATTCAAAGCATTGTGCCCCCCTGTCTCATTTCCCACTCCTTAGACATCCCCACAGCATTCTGTCATTGTACTAACTGACTCAAGAAGACAGCTGTTCTCTGCTTAACTGTTAGTGAATTTGTCTTTCAGGCATCTGAGGCCTTGAGGCAAGCAGCAGGCAGCACTGCAGTCCCAGTGGCACATGCAGTTTGAACCACCAGCTGCTCTGTGAGAGAAGGATGGGCAGTCTCCTCTCTAGCGATTAAATGCCTCTGAAACCCCAATGGAGGTTCAGCTATGGGTACTCAATGGTACACAACACAACAATAAGAACAAAAATTCACAAAACTCTTATGTTGTATACAGAGACTCTCACACCATGAATATCACATGTGAGCATAATTCTGCTGAAGATTATCCAAAAACCAACTGGAATAGCACATCAACAGAGAACTGCCTGAAGTGCAGGCTGGGTTTAGAAGAGGCCGTGGTACTAGGGATATTATTACTAATGCTAGATCGATCTTGGCTGAAGGCAGAGAGTACCAGAGGAATGTCTATCTGTGTTTCATTCACTATGCAAAGGCATTTAACTGTGTGGATCACAGAAAACTGTGGCTGACTCTGAGAAGAATGGGAACCTCAGAACACTTGATTGTGCTTGTGTGAAACCTATACTTGGACCAACAGGCAGTCCTCAGACCGAAGCAAGGAAACTCTACATGATTCAAAATCAGGAAGAATATATGCTGGAGATGTGTCCTATCTCCATACATTTTCAATCTATATGCAGAAAAGATCATCTGGGAGGCTGGGCTCTATGAGAAGAAATGTGGCTTCAGGACTAGAGAAAGATTCAACAATCTGCGTTATACAGATGACACAAACCAACTTGTGAAAACTGAGCAAGACCAGAAGTGCTTCCTGCAGGCGGACAATGACTATAGCATTCAATACGGAGTGAAGCTCAACATTAAGAAAACAAAGATTCTCACCACCGGGCCAATTAGCAGCATCATGATAAAGGGTGAAGAGATTGAGATTTGCAGTTTTAGTTTGCTTGGCTCCACAATCAACACTCTTGGTACCAGCAGCCAGAAAATTAAAATATGAATTGTACTGGGAAAGTCTGCTGTCTGAGACCTCTGTAAAATACTGAAGAACAATGATGTCATTCTGGAGACTAAGGTGTGCTTGATCCAGGCCATAGTCTTCACAATTACTGGTTATGCATCAGAGATCTGGACAATGACTAGGGATGATAGAAGGAGAATTGATGCCTTTGAGCTGTGGTGCTGAAGAAGAGTACTGAATATATATCATGGACTTCTAAGAGAACAAAAATGTTCAACCTGGAGAGGGTGAAACCAGGCTGCTCTTAGGAGGTAAGGATTCTGAAGTTCTGTCTGACATACTTTGGACATGTTACAAGGAAGGATCAATCCTTGGAGAGGGACATTATGCTTGGGAGGATGGAGGGACAGCTCAAGAGAGGAAGACCCTTGATGAGATGGATTGACTCAGTGGCTGCATTAATGAGAGTATGTCAGAGACAATAAGGTTGGCACAAGACAGAGCAGGGTTCAGAGCTGTTGTACCTTCGGTCACCATGAGTTGCAAGTGACTTGATAACACATAACAACAACATTGCTAAGATTCATCCATATAACCTCTTTTCACTGTATAGCAATCATTTGGACATCTAAAGAATTTATCATTTATATGCTCATTCTAACATGAATATAAGTTATTTCCAGTTTTCTATTGTAACCAATTCTTATTTTATTATCTTTGTACATCTCACTTTTTGTGCTAGGATAAAGTATTCCTTTTTATACCTAAAAATGGAATTGTTAGATTAGACAGAATGTGACATTTGAAATGATGCTAAAATTTCTTTCTTATCAACAGCGCTAATACAATTGTGTAGTTCTTGATAGATACCCCGTTGAACATTTAACATTAATAAATTTCTGTCAAAAATTAATTGAATGCATATAATCTTTAAGCAAAAATTTGGGGAGAGGGACACCTCCTGGCACCAAGGCCTGGGCCTCCTGGGGCTTGCCTTATGCTGCTACTATACCTAGGCATAATAGGCAACACAAGGGTAAAATGGAGAAAATATTGAAATTTTCAACAATTTCATATTGTTCGAATCCACATTCAACACCTTTGGCAGCAACAGTCAAGAAATCAAAGACTTATTATTGAGGAAGTCTGCTGTCAGAGACATCTCCAATGTACTGAGGAGCAATGATGTCAGTTTCAAGACTAATGTATGCCTCTTTCAGGCCATGGTCTTTTAAATCGCTTGATATGCATCTAAAAGCTGATCAATGAATATGGGTGACAGAAAAAAGAATTGATTCCTTTGAGTTGTGATGTTGGAGAAGATTCACTGTCTCATGAACTGCTTAAAGCACAAATAGGTATGTTTTGGAGAAAATACAGCCAAGAGGCAAGGATGGTGAAGCTTTGTCTCATGTATTTGGGGCATGTTGTTAGGAGGAGCTGCTTTGTGTAGAAGGACATCACCCTTGTAAAGGTGGGGGGTAAGCAAGAGAGAGGACGATCCTTGCGGAGAATCGATACGGTGACTGTAGTTATGGGCTCATGTGTGTTAGAGACGATACAAATAGCACAGGAGAGAACAAGGTTTAGATCCATTGTGCAAAGGGTTCCTATGAGTCATACTTGACTCACTGACACCTAACAACAAAAGAAGTGTGTTTATTAGTCTGTCTATGCACGATGCTGTTGTAGGTGATAGACTTGAAGTTTAGCAGGAAAAAACACTTTCTGGTTTTTTTCGTTTGAACAAGTGCCGGCTGAGTGAGCAAGATATAAACCTCTGTTGCTTTGTTCTATCACCAACAACACATAGTATATGCTCATTGGCTTGTCCTAGTCCATAGACTAGGTGGCACAGGCACATGTCTCTGGCAGTTCGAACCCAGGGGTAACTCTATGAAAGAAAAGATGGACAGTGTCCTCCGATGGGATTTACAGCCTTAGGAACCTGAGGGAGCCTCAGCTATGGGTTGGTTCCAACTCAACAGGAATGAGAGGTTTTTTAGTTCTATTACACTACAATTCTTCAAGGTCATCGGCCATGTCTCATTATCCTTGTTTTTATCAAGGATCCATGATGCTGCAGTGGATAAACTCTCTGCTGACCGCCTAAGCCACCCCCACTCTGCAGGAGGAAGCGGAAGGAATTTGCTGTGTAAGACACAGCCTCGGACGCCCTGCTGGCAGCTCACTCTGGTCTAGAGAGTTGCTTGATTCAAACTCAAATTGAGTGGAAATTGTTTTATTGTTCTTTGAAAGATGTATAATTCATGACTAATACAGTTAAAGGGTAAATCTTTTAAAAGTAACAATCAATGGATACAGAGAAATCCAAGAGTATGAATTTTTTAAGTAACAATTTTCTAAGGCTTTGAATAAAATTATAGACAAGAAAATAATTATGGGTTACTAAAAGATAATGTTGCTGTTATTGTGTACTGTTGACACAGAACACATTCATAGATGACCCTCCAGTGGGTTTTCATAGGCAGTTAATCACAAAGGAAGAGATTACCCATCTTCTCTTGTGGAGCAGCTGGTGGATTTGAACTGAGTGCTTTTGAGTTGGCAGCACAATTCTTTACCACTATGCCAACAGAGCTCCCTCTAAAGGGTAATACAATAGTGCAGCTGCACTTTTATTCTGAGATGATAAGGACTAATTAAATGCAAAAGAGCAATGATTT